CGTCGTCAGCCGCTCCGTCTGTGACTACTTCTTCGAGGCGCAGGAGAGGGCCTCGGAGGCGGAGAACGTGCCGCCGGTGATCCCCACGCCGCACCACTACCTCCTCAGCGTCTACCGCCACAAGATCTTCTTCGTGGCCGTCATCCAGAGCGAGGTGCCGCCTCTCTTCGTCATCGAGTTCCTCCACCGCGTCGTCGATACCTTTCAGGTACGGCTCGGGCGGCCTAGCAGGGGGAGGGTGGGCGTGCAAGGGCATGGGTGTGCGAGGGGGTATGGGTGGGGGACATGGGCGTGCAAGGGCATGGGCGTGCGAGGGGTATGGGTGGGGGACATGGGCATGCAAGGGCATGGGTGTGCGAGGGGGTATGGGTGGGGGACATGGGCGTGCAAGGGCATGGGCGTGCGAGGGGTATGGGTGGGGGACATGGGCATGCAAGGGCATGGGTGTGCGAGGGGGTATGGGTGGGGGACATGGGCGTGCAAGGGCATGGGCGTGCGAGGGGTATGGGTGGGGGACATGGGCATGCAAGGGCATGGGTGTGCGAGGGGGTATGGGTGGGGGACATGGGCGTGCAAGGGCATGGGCGTGCGAGGGGTATGGGTGGGGGACATGGGCATGCAAGGGCATGGGTGTGCGAGGGGGTATGGGTGGGGGACATGGGCGTGCAAGGGCATGGGCGTGCGAGGGGTATGGGTGGGGGACATGGGCATGCAAGGGCATGGGTGTGCGAGGGGGTATGGGTGGGGGACATGGGCGTGCAAGGGCATGGGCGTGCGAGGGGTATGGGTGGGGGACATGGGCATGCAAGGGCATGGGTGTGCGAGGGGGTATGGGTGGGGGACATGGGCGTGCAAGGGCATGGGCGTGCGAGGGGGTATGGGCGGGGGACACGGGTGTGTGAGGGGATAAGGGTGGAAGACATGGGCATGCAAGGGTATGGGTGGGCAGGGTGGGTGTGCAAGGGGCTGGGTGTGGGCCATGGGCATGCAAGGGGGTATGAGGGGCATGGGTGTCCAAGGGCATGGGTGAGCAGGGTGGGTGTGGGACATGGGTGCACAAGGAGAGGTGGGTGTGCAACACCCCCCCCCATACCAGGACAGGCTCTCTGCTTCTGCTTTAGCTGAAGGGTTAGGTGACGTGTGCCGAGGAGGTTAGAAAAGAGCCCCAGGTCACTGCTGTTGTAAAGGAGAACAGGGTGGGGGGGGGAAGGAAGCCCTTCAAGTTAGCAGCAATTAGTTTTCTTGTTCTCCTATCTCTTAATTCTCATCCTGCACCTGCGAGGATCTCGAGGGCTGGTGGTGGTTAGGAATGCACTGCCTAGGATGAGGATGGATTCAAGACCTACGCTCAGAGGAAGAACCTTTCAGCAATCGAGATTCATATTTCTTTTTCACAGCCTTGTCTCTTCTAGGGGCTGTGAACTAAGACCAAGCTGGCCTTGTTCTCACAAGGCATTTTTGCAATTCATAGCCATGTGCTTTAGTCAATTAGTGACCACCTACCTATGTGCTTACATCCAGTGATATTTCTTGCAAGCTTATTTGCTTTCTAAAGAAGGGAGTCACAGGAGTTGCCCCAGAGCAGCCTTATTCCCTCTGTGCTATGGCTGGCATGACTGCCGGTCAGTTTAGGGAAGCAGTGAAGAAGTCTGTCTTCTGCCTGCCAACAACAGGATTGTGTAGTCTGGATTTGAAATGTCTTGTGACCAGCATCCCACCAGAGTACAGGAGATGTGGGTGCTTGATCAAACAAGTATCGTGAGCTTTTGCTTCCAGGCACCAGTCAGAATGTGAGTGTGGGCTGAGTTATGTTTCATTGAGTTCAGGGAGTGGGTTGGCTGTTCAGGCCAAAAATGTACAATATCAGATGCGCTGGCTTGGCCGTAGGTTACAATCTGCTATGTCTGAAAAAGAAATAGTGTTTGTAGCGCGGGACTAGGAATTCTCTAGCGTCACAGTTTATGTATACTCGTGCTTTGTGCAGAATGCCTGATCTCTTTAATTGCTCTAAGTAACTAGAAGCTCAGGTTTGTGTTTGCGTGCGTGTGCTCACTCTCTCTCCAGAAAGATGCATGAAGTCCCCACAGAATAAAACTATGAGTAAATTAAATGTTCAATTTTAAAAATTACTGAATTATCGGGTCTGCTTCCTATAACATATGCCGAATCTTGAAAGTTCCCCACTTAGTTTTGTATAGCTACATTGTGTTACAGATGTAAAATTTGGTATATTTTCAGTGCAAACTTTAATATTACTAATTATTGTTTTGGAGTAGGAGCTGAAGAAACAGTAGAGGAATCACGCTGGGGAATAAACTGGTCTGTGGATCTTTTATGATTCACATCCTAAGGTTCTGCTTGATACACTTCATAATTTATGAGGAAGGAGGGTTTTGTTACATGGATGGAATTATTTTTCAGACTTCTCAGAATACTGGACTTCTGCTATTAGTCTAATAGATCTTGGGATGTGTAAGCAGTCTGTGCACCCCAAGAGGTATCAGAATGAAAAAACACAGGTAGTGTGTTGGATGGACTTCAGAAATGTTCTCCTATAAAACAAACACGGACTTGGGCAGAATATGCAGAGAGTTTGAAGCTGTGCTCCCCCTATATTCCACATCAAAATAAATTCTAAAAAAATATTTACAGAATTGAAGTTAATAATTGTACTTTTGCCTATATTTATGTGAGCGTTATAACAAAAGTAAATGAAAAGCTTTGATGAGGAGAGGTTGAATTCCTTAAACAGCAGTGCTGCACAGTTAAAATACTGAGAGCACTGTAGGTAAAGGCTAGGGCGGCTGAGGAAGGGTATATAATACTGGAGCCTGATGAAAGGCATCGCTGCACGCATGTCAGTAGTGGCCACAAGAAGTAAATTTTTCTTATCAATGTTGCTGCTTAATGGGTTGCAATTGAGCCACTTTCAAGTGCTAATTAAAAAAATCTCTTAGCTATCAAAGGGAATCTTGTTACCTTGAAAAGCAATAAGAGCACATGGCGATGCGGTGACTCGCCAGCTTGCTGGGGCGGTGGCAGAGGTATGCTCAGAGCCATGTGTATCTGTTGGAACGGTCAGTCTGTCTGACGTGCTTGTACTAATACATGGAGTTTCAGTGTTGTTTCACCTCCTCTGAGAAGGGGCTTGATTTATTTCTCTGTGGGAGGACACTGAACTGAATGATAGCTAAGACTCTCTTTCAGAGATTGTTGAGTAATTCTTTCTTTTGCACAGGATTATTTTGGTGTCTGTTCAGAGGTGATGATCAAGGACAATGTTGTGGTGGTCTATGAGGTGCTGGAGGAGATGCTGGATAATGGCTTTCCATTGGCAACAGAGTCTAATATTCTTAAGGAACTGATAAAGCCTCCCACTATCCTGCGAACAGTTGTCAACACCATCACAGGTACAGGGAAACAAAAAGTAGATAAAACTGGGGAAGCCCTGTGGCAATATTCCTGCATAAGTAAATTAGGATATGGGTGAAGAAAATTTATGTTGTCCTATGCATTCTAAACCCCAGCATAGGTGTATTTAGGGAGTCCTGTGTTAGTGCTTTGCTTTGAGGTTCCGTCCACTTCCAGCACCAGCTGCGCTTTTTTTTTTTAAAACCAAACCAGACTGATTACATTTCCAGTTACAGCCATGACGTGACTTCCTGGATGAGTTAATTTGGTGTGGGTTTTGTGTTGGGGGGGCTTTGTGTTGTTTTTTTTAGTTACAATTCCCCATGCCTTATTGTGGTATGGTTTAGCATTGGATGTAAGAGAGACATAAATTGTAGAATACAAACAGCGAGTCTGGAAGAGTAATTGCTCTCCTACGAAGAGACAGAGGTTCTCGGGGATTAATTACAATTAAGTTACATGAGGCCAAGGACTTGTTCTGGAGCATTGTCTAACTTTTGTGGTTGTTGTGATTGCCTTTCTTTTTCCAGGAAGCACTAATGTGGGTGACCAGCTTCCTACCGGACAGCTATCTGTGGTGCCTTGGAGACGTACTGGTGTAAAATATACCAACAATGAGGCGTATTTTGACGTGATTGAGGAGATAGATGCAATCATTGACAAATCGGGTATGGAAGTTGCTTCTGGCTAAGACGAGGGTAACTTGTCCTGATAGTGCCTGAAGAGAGATTTAGGTTTTCAAAGAGGAGCTCCCTCATCTAAGTGTGGGAAGCTCTATTCCTATTCTTACTCTGGAAAGTTGCCAACTTGTAGGTGCTATTCAGTCAAAAATTTTAGAGAGGTACCAAGGTTTTCACTTGCCCTTGTTCCTGAGGTCTTGTCAGCAGTTCTATATTGGGAAAACAGAGGGTGGGTGAAAATTGTGCGTAGCACTCTTTAGTTTTTCTGCATCTTAATCCTGTTAGAGTTGAGAGCTATTGTCACTGGCCATTAAAATGGACATTGCTGGTGTCAGTGGTTCTTATTTGTACGCATCTTCTCTAGCAGTTGCAGGGAATGAGAAAAATGTTGAGCGGGCAACATAATGAGCCATGACACTTCATAAAGATAATAAATTTCCTTCCTCCCCATTGATAGTTTTTCCACATTGGAATTTTTTTGATCAGGTTCACATAACTTCCCGTATTTATTTATTGTTGCAGGTTCTACGATTACTGCTGAAATCCAAGGGGTGATTGATGCTTGTGTCAAGCTGACTGGGATGCCAGACCTTACCCTCTCCTTTATGGTAAAGCTCAAGGATGTATCTTTACTTAAGTATTTTGAAAAGGATTTCCCAGCCCTGCTGCTAGGATCTCGGTCTCGCGCTGATGGATTCCAGTAGATCAGAACCTGGGTATGCCAAACAAAAAGAGAAAGAATTGACAATGGCAACTCATGGTGAACCTCAGCAAGTTTGAGGATAAAGGTTTTATTTTCGGATTCTTTGTTAAAAGTACTGTTAGTTTGTGCTGTGCCTAAGTTTCTGAGATACTGTCGTACTTTAGGCAGATACCCTAAAGGGCCATCTTTTTTGTGAGTATGCATCAGTGTAATTACTTGACACGACTGAATTTTCTAAAATAGGATAGAGGTTATTGAGTACTGCTATCGCACAAATGTAACAGCATCAAATAGCTTAACGTGTCTGAATGTAGATAGCTTCAAGTGGGCAGAGCGCGTCGAATGGTAGGCCCTTCGTGGATAGAAGATTGAGAAGAGGAGGTTATTTTAAGTAGTACTGCCTTCACTAACCCTGTGACTTTCTTTTCTTTCAGAACCCTCGATTATTGGACGATGTCAGCTTTCATCCATGTGTGCGTTTTAAGCGCTGGGAGTCAGAGAGAATACTCTCCTTCATTCCACCTGATGGAAATTTTCGCTTGCTCTCCTACCACGTCAGCGCTCAGAAGTAGGTGATGAATTTGGTGCTGTGAATTACGAAATCTGGATCTTCCTGGCTAGGAAAAACAGAAAGGAATTGCTTTTAAAGATCAGGTGGCATGTTGTGCCAAATGAAGTAGAGGTGCATGGTACCTTGCACTCTTCCTTTTTTAAAACACGTGTTTTCTCCTTGTTTGGAGCAGTGATTCTGTCATTTCTTTTTGGTCAGCCAGCATTTTTCAAAGACTAGTAGCAGATGAACAAACTAGAGAGGGAAAGAATTAGGCAGTATGGAGTAATCAAGCTGTTGATTTCCTATGTATATGAAAAACTTTTAGAATAAAACAAGATAGTTTGGTAATCTTGCTGGTTTTTTGACATCTCTCTTAATAGAACTACAAGTCCTTGTCCACTGTTTGCGTTCTGTTCTAGAAGCAGCTTACCAAGGACTCACTGGGGTAGAGATGCTAAAGCATTTTGTTACACTTTGTCAGGCTTATCTCAAGTAGGTGAAAAGGAGCGGGAAATCCAACCGAAAGCACAAATGTGAAGTTCCAGTGCTGCTGCGCTGCCTGGAACTGCTTGCCAGCTTGGTTGTGACAGGCAAAAACATTCCTCATCCTTTGCTCAAGTCTCTTGTTATAGATGTGGTTACCTGTCCTGTAGAGAGGTAGAAAACCAAGATACGGCAAGCTTGATTAAAAAAAGTGTAATTAAGACTTGAGAACAGGATTCTGCTCTTAGATCAAACAAACGAGTATAGGATTTCCTTCTCTTTTAAGGAGATTGGTTTCCAGTGTTTTCAGTGTAGAAGGCAAGGACTGCATCAGGAAAAGCAAAGATGAAGGCAGGAGATTGACAAGGACTCTCTGTTGATGTCTTTATTCTAGTCTTGTGGCAATTCCTGTCTACGTTAAACACAACATCAGTTTCCGTGATAGCAGCTCGCTGGGACGTTTTGAGATCACAGTGGGGCCAAAGCAGACTATGGGGAAGACCGTAGAGGGAGTGATGGTCACTAGCCAGATGCCAAAAGGTGTCTTAAATATGACCCTCACGCCCTCTCAGGGAACACATATCTTCGATCCAGTTACAAAGGTGAGAGGAAAGAGAGAAATTAGATTTTTTTTTTTTAATCTTTTTTACCTTTCAGCAAATGAAGTTGCGCTGTTCATGCTTACATGAACATTTCCTTGAACATTGCTTTTCTGAAGGCATTATCTTTTCTTGGGGTGAGAACTTTTTCTGGACAATTGCATACTAGAAGTTGTCGTAATCTCCACAACAAATAGCTCAGTGTCTGAGTGGATTGTAGTTCTGGCTGCTTGGTGCAGAAAATCCAAGAACTGGTATTGGATGATGAAGCATTAGTCTGGTGGGTGCTTTGCAGACTTCTGCATATCTCGTTGTCATGCCTAGTACTGCACGTTAGACTTGGGCCTTTGCAAACACTGAGGATTTGGGTTGGTTAGGGGGTTTTGATTTGTTTTGGGGTGTTCTGGTTTTGTTGTTTGGTCGTCGTCCCCGCCCAGAGTTCACTTTTTTCTTATTGCAAACTTAAATTTGATGGTTTACCAACAGCAGGCACTCAAGCAGCATTGCTTCAGCTACTTGGTAAGGAGGCAATTCTGCATTATTTTTGTTGCTGTTACACATAGGAAATAGGGCCTGTAGCACAAGCAGTGGAAATATAATTCATGGTAGGCTTTTGGGGAACCTCATGGAAAGAGAGAGGGAGAAAAAAGGTTGAAGGCAGCTGCTCCTTAAGCCTGTACTATGTCTGTCCGATAGGCAAGATACTAAGGCAAAGACCTTTTCCATAAAGAAACATTAAAAGCTGTCATTAGCAGGGGACTCTTCTTCAGAGGGTGTTACAGCATTTCTGTTTCACTGCTGCATTTTCTGTTCCTCGAAGTTGCTGTCGTGGGATGTGGGGAAAATAAACCCCCAGAAGCTGCCAAGCCTGAAGGGGAGCGTGAGCCTGCAAGCTGGGACATCAAAACCAGATGAAAACCCCACCATTAACCTGCAGTTTAAAATTCAGCAGCTGGCTATATCTGGTAAGTGACTGTCAGATAAAGAAGTTGAATGTTCTCTGCTGTGTCAGTGCTCACTCTGCACGTAGCTGAAGTAGCTCTGCAGGCCTTCTGAAGTACCTTCTATCTGAAACATGTTCTTCAAGTAAAAAAATCGTGTGCTTTGACTACAGATACGTGGATTTGTCCTCTCTGATGCTCTGTGAAACAGCCTATCTACATTTCCTTGCATTTTGTGCTTACACACCTATAAAGAATTTTAGGGTGTGGGTGTGTTTGTAAAGAATGATTCTGACAATTAGCAGTTGTCAGCTTTTCTCTGTTATGTTTACTGCTTACTAGAACTTTCCCTATGCTTTCTGCACCTCTAGTGTGATCTTCTGTTCCTTTATCCTGAAGGCCTGTCTGCTTTGTTTGTGGCAGCAGTCAGTCTTATGCTGTGTTTGTTTGCTTTTAGGACTGAAGGTGAATCGCTTGGACATGTATGGGGAGAAGTACAAGCCCTTCAAGGGGATAAAATACATGACTAAGGCTGGCAAGTTCCAAGTCCGAACCTAGAGGATCCTGATAGTGAGGAAGAGCACTTTCCTGTTTCTCCTGTCCCTGGCTGTTGGATGAGCCTCTTACCCCATCCATCTGTTTAGGGTTGCTCCCTTGCCTGTAGTAGCATGAGCAGGAGAGCCAGTGCTTAGGGTGCTGGGGAGCAGGGAAAAGTAAGGTTGACCTGAAACCATCTCATCCCTGGCTGAGCCTGAAGTATTTGGAACAATGGCAGATGGGAGAGGTGTTCAGGTCCCTTGGGATTAGTGAGTCAGCTATGTAAGCTTGTATCACCTTCATTTTGCTGTCTTAAAGGAAATTCTAGGGATGTATTGCCTTTTGTAACTCCTCTTCCTTATATTTTGGTTGGCTTTTATCCCTTCGTAGATGATACAAAGTTGAATTTCCACAAACTTTGACTCCAGTGTGATGGTCTGGCATCTGCCCTTCTCCATCACTGGGCGTTTGGGTGGAGAGCTGTATAGCTCGTGGCAGCCGAGAGATCATCTAGCCATTCTGCCTCAAAGGGCCGGGAAGAAGTGGAAAGGTAGGCTGTCCCAAAGCAGCCTGAGATTGGGGATGGTGCCACAGAGGGAGGAAGGGAAGAAGTGGATGCTTTTTCTAGATATTTCATAAGCCATCTTGGTCATCAGGTATCTGGGATCTCTGGAGATGGACTGGAAACCCATCCAAATGTTAGCATGGTATCCTGTGAAGGGCTGACTGTAGCACATCTGATATTGTAACTGATGGGTGGTGACATCTGAATGTAATTCTGCTTCTCTTTGTATTTCGTCAGTATTGGAAGGTAGGGATTCTCCCAGCTTCTTTGGGGAGTCAGGGAAGAGACAGAGAGGCAGGAGAATTGTGGAGACAGAACACTGATGGAAACTGAAGCTGTGGCTAAATGAAGATGATCGCTATCCTAGTAACTTGTTGGAACCTCTTTTTGTCGCTGCCTGCCTATTACAAATGAAGGTGATACTGCTGTTCTCCTGCTCACTGATGTCTGTCTTTGAGGTAATTGTGTCCTGGTACCTTTGTAGTGTTTCTGGCTGTCCTACCTCATTCCAGTTCCTGTACCAATCAGCTGCTGTGCAGGTGGATTCAAGCCTACGCTGGATTTTTCACTGGGACCATCTCTTCTGCAGGAGCTGTTGCTGTATCTGCCCATTCCAGTCCATGCTGCATCTCTCTGTACAGCACATACATGAAATGAGAGGCATCTGCACTGTTCCGTATTGTCTGTAATGTGCTCTTTGGCCACTAGATGCCAATGTGTTTTCTCCGTGGCAGCAGCACTTGCCCCTAAGCTGCTGTACGTGTGACTGCAGCATCTGTCAGGTGGCTGTGGAGTCCAGCATGTGCGGTTCATGCTTGTGAACAGAACAAGGCGACCCTAAACGAAGGATAACATACCTTCTGGTTTGCATGTGATGGATACTTGCAGTGAACGAATGGCATCTTGCTTGTGGAATGGCAAGTTCCAGTGCAACCGATGCCATAGCAGGTGGCCTTACTGCAGAGCATGTTCAGTGCAAATATAACCTTCAGCAAGGGCATCAATAAAATTCACTTTTACTTGTCATCTGTGTCATTTCAGAGTGGTTTGTGTGGGCTTTGCAAGAAATACAGTTGGTATTGAGGAAGAAGGTAAATTATGCCAGCTGGATTGTGGATAGCGGGTGCCTTAGGGAGATCAATGTCTTTATGCGATTGGGATTGTAAGCTTGGGGCTCAGTCACTGTGTGAAAAGCTAAAATTAATTACTTTCCTGGTAATTTTTCTTAGGAGTGCTGAGCTTTTCCTAGAACCTCACTGAAACTGTCTGTAGGAATGCAGCTGAGCCATTTTTGTTTATTAGGTGGGGGTTTGGGTAGCAGGCGAAGGGCTGTGCTTTAGTTATGAAGACAATGAAATACCTTTTCACCTTCCGGCTCCTCAAATGCTGATGTTGTCCTTTGGCTTTGTAGCTTTGTTTTTTAAAGTGTCTTTTTT